TCATTATCCTCCCTTGTATTTATCCATATGTTGTAGATATCCTAATCATTATAGGATTAGGATAATCATCCCCTTTATTTGTAGCAATCCTTATCTCCTAAGGAATATGCTTTATTCTCTTGTATGTATATATATATATGTAACCACGTGATTAATAATACTATGAGAGTTACAACCTTCTTTATTCTTTAACAGTTTTTTATTTCTTATTCACAAGATTCACAATTCATTGGGTTCAAAACCCACTTCTGACAAACTATTAAGCCTCAGTTCAGAAAAAAAAAAAAAAAAAAAGATTCACAATTCATTTGATTATCCTCACGTACCGCGTAATGGTCAAATCAAAAGGTGGAGACACAGATTAGTATATTCATACATTATCATGCATCTTCTTGAATTTTAAATTCAAATACATCATTATGTACCCTCCTTTTCAGACTACCTCTTTGTATTAAAACCTCTACATGTTAGTCACTACTTCTCCATACCGCCATAGACGTGCTCTCCACTTACTTCTTCCACATTTATATATATTCGAAGAATTCTAAGTTTCTAACCCAACCCTAAAAACTCACCTTAACCAACCGTTCACCATAATTAGTAAATATTATCTTAGATTACTGAGTTTTGTTATGTCTCCTCCAGCTTTGATTGAAGATGGTCTAACCAACAAATGGAGCAACGACGAGTGGCAGAGTCTCAGAGTTTCTCCCGGAGAAAACCCTAACCCTAACTCTTCTTTCAATTTCTTGGTGAAGAATGCGGATATGCAGAACCAGCTGACAGTTTCACGCACATCTGTAAAAGATGAAAGCTTCAGAATGGTCTTACCTCTCGCGATGTCTCCTCCAAGAGACAACGCCGTGCCGCTTCCTGTTCTTCCTGAGCCGATGATGAATTCAAGGAAGAAACTTAGCCACCAAGAAACCATGTTTTATGAAGAAGAAGATTTTAAGTGCGGTGCCTTTTGTTTATCCTTCCCTGGATTTGGGAAGCCAAAACCAGTTAGGTCACCAAAAAGCGAAGATTCTCCTATAAAGAAGAAAATGATCAAAGCAACATCGTTCTCAAACTCTGCTGTCTCCCTAAGTGCCTCGCTTGAGAAATTCGAGTGTGGCTCATTGGCTTCAACGACTGTGGCTATGGCCAGAGAAAACGGTCGATTGTACTTCGATCTACCGGTGGAGATGATCAAATGTGGCCGTGTAAGCAGCGGAGATGTGCAAGAACCAGTGAGTTTGGGTTTCTTCTTCGACAAGGAAACAGAAAGTCCAGCTTTGAGAAGTGTTCTAAAGACTTCTTTTTCGGTAAGGCAACAAAGGGCTTCGGCTGAGACATCACCGCAACGCCGTGTTAGGTTTTTGACCACGACCTCGGTTTCATGCCCGACTTCACCAAGATCGTGTATCACCCCGCGGCTGCTTAAAGCTAGAGATGACTTCAATGCGTTCTTAGCAGCACAGAACGCGTGAAACCCTAAAAAAGCAGAGCAGTATAATAAGACTTAACGATAATATATGTTCGTATCTATGAATGAGCGGTATGTATATATCAATGGAGAGCGAATATTTGCGATTATTATTTAGATTGGAGTCTCTGCCTAACCATATTATGAGCATCAAATATAAGGTTTCTTAGGTCCAAGTCTTTGCGTAAACAGATCATTGAAGGATTATAATTTATAAGTATGATAACTCGAAATTGTTTTTGTATTGGTACATTAATATTTGTATATGTATTTTTTTTAAGAAAAGCATATTTGAATATATTTGAGTACAAAACATAGTCTCAAACTGTTGCGGATGGAAGGAAGATCGATGATGTGTTTTATCGACTAATGGTTATTTATGTGAGATTCGTTCTGAAGGTAGGCATGCTGTTGATGGCGACTTGAAACTTCCATAATACGGTTATGTGATCATGAACACTCAGCAACGCCCTCTTCAGGAAACTTTAACGCTAAAACCATTACAAGACAACATGAATGAAAAATATTAATGAAAAGCAAAAAAAAAATTGACTAAATGAAATGAACATTTTGAAAGTTACGAATTCCTGAAAACCAAAGTTGAAAGTTATATTGTAAGGAAATTTGATGCACCAGACCACAATCAGCCGGGATACCAAGTATGGCTGCCCATACACTTTTGTTATTCGGTAAAAAAATTATGATAAGCTGCAAGTAATCAAGTCCCGTTGTCACATGCTTTCTTAAGATAAAATATTAGCATCAAAACTCTACTTACAATCATTTTTTGGGAACTCTACTTACAATCATTTATCCTATTTTCTTTTTCTCTCCTTCTTTTGCAGTTGATTTGATTTCTACCTAATTTTGGAAAGTATAATCGGGAAGACCAAACAAATTAGTTTCAAAAAAAAGACCAAACAAATCTTTTCACCAATGACGTGAAAAATGTCCATATAAGAACATGAAAGAGACTCTTTGTCTTATTGGCTCATGATATTCGGTTAAAACTTTTTTTTTGCTTATTCTCGTTTTCTCCACTCCTTTCTATTTACTTTTGTTTGAATTATCAGTGTTTTAGTTGATTAGAATCTACTATATGTTTTAAAATAGTGGAAAAAAACTTATTCATCGTCGCCTTATGTTTGTCTCCGACACCTCCAAATCTATTGTCAAATGTATTTGTTTTTAGTCAAAATCGATGGCTTTCAGTTTTACCTACTAACATGTCCTTTGCAATATATTTTGAATTTCTTAATTACAGTAATGTAAATTATAATTTTATTTAACCTTCATATAAATTTTAAGAAGAATTAGTACCAAATTTTTATATAAAAGTGACGTCATATTTAAAACCTTTGAATTTTTAGTCTCAATCAATCCTCAAAGTTCACATTCACACCACATACATACTAGTAAAAAATCGTACCCTCTTTGCTTTTTCTTTTGTTTTATTTCTTTTCCTCTTGCACTTTCCACGCATTAATACACCAAAGAAATAAATATCCTCACAAACAATCTCATCTGATCACACACCTCTCTTTTTACCAGCTCTAATTTTACAGAAAAATATCAACAGTCATTTCTTGATCTTTCAAGAGCTCATCAATTCTATATAAGCCTGAATAAACTCTCTTTTTGTTTCGGTGTGTGTTTGCAATATAAGCTCATAGTCTTATACGTGTATAACATGTGATGCGATCTCCTCACATCATCGTTCTCTTCTTCTTCCTTTCTCTACTCCTCCAAACCCATCAAAGAACCATTGAAAAAACTCACTGGCCGGCTGGCTCCAATGCTCAACAAGTCAATAATGTGGTGGTGACTTCTCAGGAAGGGAGAAGAAGAGAGAGCTTTAGGGTTCGGAGGCCGATGACCTCATGGCGGAAGGGGACGATGCTCAATAACAGTGAACATGAAGTCCCAAGTGGTCCGAATCCCATCTCCAATAGGTAGAACTATATTATTATAATTATTACAGAGCTTCTTGTATGAATATTCTGGCTAGTAGTCTAGTGAATCTCTTTGCTTATGAGGTCGAACGTACAAAAGTCACCGAATGTTACCTGTTGATTCAAGACTGAAAACTTCAACTTTGCAGGTGAAATTGTTTTATGTTAGTCATAAGGAAAATAATAATATCTTACTGTAAAACACGAGTAAACTTCTCCCATGCCTCTATTTTTTCAAAGCTAATCTCTTATAATAAGTTCACTTAATCTCTTATATCCCTATTTCATAATTCTTTTTTTATCAAAACCCAAACTCCCAAATCAAATCCTCTCCGGTATTCAAAACTAAACCCTAACCCTCCCCTCTCCGTATGGATTAGTGAACCCTTGGGAAAATATTTAAGTTCTATACCTTTCAAATTTCGTAAAAAATATATTTTGAAATCGTTTTTAATCATATTTTGATGATTTTCATGAAAATATGAAATATTTATTTTGAAATATTTTTATCACATTATATAAATCAAATAAAAAATATTCACATTTCCAATTTAATTTTATTATTTTTTTTTGACATATAAAATTAAAAGAATAAATGTGTCTTAGAGAGATTAGAGAATGAGATATAGGGACATGAGAGGAATTGTCTCGTAAAACACAGTACAAATAATAGCAAAACGAGATTATTTGAATAAATAGATATAATTAATTAATTTGTTTTTAGTTAATACTCTCTCTGTTTGAAAATGTTCCATGTTACAGAATTTTTTTTTTCAAAATGATACTTTTTTTACATTTTCAATACATCAATTAATGGTGAAATGTAAATTTCAAAGTGTTAATTAAAAAATTATTGTTTAAAAATTATAGGAAATAGTTAGTTACAAAAAAATAATGTATTGGGAATAAAAAATTTATAAATTTTCTTAATATGTGTAAAAAATGTAAACCATTGAATAATTTGAAACATGAATATTTACCTTTCTATATTTTAGGAAAAATAAATTATACAAAATAGCAAAAATAATTTAGAGACGAAAATACGTCCACATGTCCGGGGATCAAGAAAGGTGTAGAAACAAATATACACACACATGCATAAACATATATACTCAGACGTGCTTATAAAGGGTTTGGACCGTTATCAACATTCAGAGTGTACTGTATGCTTTTATTTATCTTTAATGCCAACGAAATTCCAAATTTCCCATGCAAGCCTGAGTATACGTAAGTTTTATGTAGACTTGTTTAGATGCTCTTATATATAATTCTTTGTTCTAGCCATTTTACGTATACACACTACAAGGAAACATAACATATCCTGACCAAAATCCTGACCACATAAATTAGTCAGAAATATTTCCAACCACAAATTGACCATTTCATGATGATTTACAAAAAATGGACAAAAGGTGGTCAGAAATTACCGACGAACCAAACTGGTCAGAAAAATGGTCAGTAATATGTGATCAAGTCTTGACCATTTCATTATCATCATAAAAATAGTCAGAAATGGAACGGAAAGTGGTCAGAATTTTCTATAATATTAAACCATTTCTTCCAGTTTGTGTAGTGGTTAGAAAATGGTATAGAGAGCTATCAAACGCTGTCGTGTAGAGAGCTTGTTTAATAAATTCTTATATCTTTAACCTAATCTGTTTCTCTTCTTCCTTTCATCTTCAGCGGCGCATATCTCCCTATCGAGACAGATTCTTAGATAAAGGCTACTGAAGAGCAATTGGTAAATATAACTTTTATATATTTGGGTGATTTTCAGTGACAGTTTATGTATTGTAAAAGATTATCTTAAATAAATTTGCATTGAGTTAAGACTGATTTATTTTCTACTCATCAAAGGGATCACACTCTAGTTTTCATAGTAAGTTATCTTTGATTGTTAATTATTATTTTGTTCTTTATTATATGTTTCTCATTTTACATGGAAATCCATGTGAAAGGTCACTGTTCTGGATTTGCAACAATGCTAGACCCAAGACAACTATTTTCTTCAGCTAGTTTCATGTCTTCTTCGAACCAAGAAGAATACAAACAAGAAGATGGATGTATCAAATGAGCAAATTTCCAGTTGTAGATGCAGACGCCACCGAAGAATACTTCTGTAATAGTTTTTTTAGGCTTGTGTTTTGTGGTTAAAAAATTAGTAATGAGCAATTCTAGCTTAATTTTTTTTGTAACTTTATTTAAGTGTGCTAAGACTATTTCAATGTTAATAATTTTAAGTTTCAACTCTAAAATGTATTTGATTAGTCATTTATATTTTATTATTTAAATACAATTTAATTGATTAACAAATTTAAATAATTAATTAGATAAATTTATTAATAAGTGGTTAGAATTTGATCAAAATAAGTGGTCATAAGTTCGTCAAATAATGATTAGAAATTATTGACCATTTTCTGATGACATTTTTGACGACATTCCTGACCAAATATATGGTTAAAATTAGTGACCACTTTCTGATCAAACCATATTTCTGACGGAGCTTTTTTGATGACAATAAATGGTCAGAAAGTGGACAAAAAGACCGGTTTATGACCAAATTACATCGGATAAAGTGGTCAAAATTTAAACTATTTCTTGTAGTGACATGGTTATCATTTTGTCAAGATAAAAATTGGATATTCTAAGTACACTCTCTCACACATACGGAAAGACTACTCACATCAAAATGTTTTAATTGGCGTATACGCACGCGTATTGACTTCTTTCCCGGCCAGTTTTACTTAAGAAAATATAATGCAGTCTCGTTAAAAGTCTTTCGGTACGCGTCACGTTTTAATAATCACCAACCTACCATGCATGATCCATACAACTTTTGATTTGATATAGTTATAAATATATAGTACGCTTTGGGGACTTAGGTCCCCATAATACATGGCACATGCATCACGAACCTGCATTGATGTTGTGTCAACGAAAGCTAAGTGATGATGAGTAGTATTGAATAGTACTGTATACTTTTGTTCGAGTTATTATGATCTTATTGCTATTATTAAATATGATCATAAGAAACACTGGATCGTTCGATCTTATATTATGCAGATTATAGTTAGTATTGAACATATCAATGCGAGATAATAACATATGTGGTTATTCTCTTAGATATATTAAAAAAAAGTGGCAAGCTTAGACAGGGTAATTAGTCTTTGGTTCAGTTTACTTTTAAGTATGCCAAAAACATGCTAAGTAATGTAAGTTTGTCTCGGTTTGGTTTGATAATGTGTTTTTTTTTTCTTGTAATACAGTCTGGATTATCTATAGACCACAAACTAGTTACTGCACATGAGTTTGTCAGTATATTCTTCAAAATATTTACTGCATGCTAAAAAGTAGGCAAAACAAGAAAAGAAAAAGACAAAAGAGGCACAATGAAATAACAAGGAAATCTAAAAACGACATAGTTTTGCGTGTAAAGGAAGAGGAGACAGTCCTGGCATCCAAAGTTGCATTGAACGAACCATCATTTTCTTACTTTTTCCCCATCTTACATATCTCAATCCTTTATCCTTTATCCATTTTTGATAGTAACAAATTACTAATAGTATATTTTTCTTTTATAATTTATTATCCATTCTTCTAAACTTAACAATTTTTATATACTCAACACAGAAAATGAATAATTTTTGTTATCATAACTATTTTGGTAAGACATTACTTGTAGAAAATGAACGAACCAAAGTTGCAAAGAGTAAATAACGTAGTTTTATACCATAATACAAAAAAGCTTCCTTATTAGGCCATAGACAAAGCGCCAAGTCTCAGCTTTTAAAGCTATTTAAAAAAGGTCTTATTACCTACGTACAAATACCTTTTCTACAAGTTCCATTATTTGAATAAAAAAGCAAAAGAGATGGAACCCAAACTTTTTTTGTGTGTAATAACTATAACCAAAACTTTTGTTTTCTTGAATTTGTTAAAACGATATATACTAGTAGGTGCCTTAGAAAAGATCTTATGTCTTTTAATTTTGTAAGCAATCAAAGCAAAACCCCTCTCATACTTGAAATATCTATTTCAAATGTTAAAGCATCAATCAACGTAACTCGGAACGTAACATTGCATTAACCGTGAAAGAAAAACTGTAACTGAAAAAAAAATCAGCACAAGCACAAGCAAATTGAATTATATAGTTCACAAATGGAATTGAATTAGAATCCAAGCCGAGCTGAATATAAATTATAACATCAAACTAAAATGGAAAAAGAAGGAACTTAAAACCAAGGGAAAATTGCCAAATATGACTCAAAACTTGATTTGAAATGCAAAAGTAAACCCAAACTTGAATCAAATGCAAAAGTAACTTAAAAGGCTGTTGAAATTACAACCAACCCCTTGTGAACAAACAAAAAAAAGAGTTTTCTTTTGACGTTTTTAGCCCTCGCAAGTCGTCTGCCCAGATGACTTTAAACTAAGTCGTCCAGACGACTTAGTTTGAAGTCGTCTGGGACAGTTTTTCTTAAAAATAATTTAAAAATTGTGTAATAAATATTTTGATAAATGAAAAATTGGAATTATGTAATTAACATATGTCTTAAGAGATATAAATTAATATATAACAAAAGTCAGTTGTTTTCAGCATAGATGAGGGAAAGTAGTGAGTCATGATATTCTTTGGTTTAGGTTTCACCAACATATGTTGTAGTATTGTATGTGTTTCTTAGGGTTAGATTTTTGAAAGCATAAATGTTTTTTTGAAAAATTAAAAATTTACCTAAGTGTGTTTATTTCTGGGTATAGTAAACAATATTTAAGTATAATTTGATTTTATAACGTGGTTACTTAGTTA